ATTCATGGAATCGCCAACCAAGTAATGAGATAGTAATGGGCATCCGACAGATCCCCGTTAAGCATATCGGTATAGAAAATCTCAATCAGAACCAACAGAGCCTCACGGCAAATACTGAAACCCATGTAATAACACCTATTGAAGATGAGGCTAGCACGAAATTTCACGCCACAACCGAAAGATTTTCTTCTATTAATGATTTGAATTCGAATAATTTCTTGAGTCCGCCTACATCCACCGAACCGAATACTATCAAACACGAGAGTCATAACCGAAAAATAATTGATGAGAGCTTTGAAGAAGCACACGTTGGGCAGGTAGAGTCTATAGAATCTCAACTTACTACCAGCTCCAGAGAGGAAATGATTCAAACAAGAACTTCGCATGAGCTACTCAATATTGAGAATCCTAACCGGGATGAAGAGACGCCACACACAGAAATGTCTAGGGAAGATGAAATTGAAACGTCTACATTGAGTCAAAGCAGTGGCGATTTCATAAAATTATCAAGCACACTTTCATATGCGAATCCAAGTACTTTGAGACCTGTACGAGAAGCTGTGGCTGCAAGTGAAGAAAGCAGCCAAAAAGAAAATGAAATGTTGAAGCTCACAGAATTTGTGACACCCACCACAACGACAGCTACCCAAAGAGATCGCGACATTCAAACAACTTCCAACACCGATAATAAAAATATTGAACAGTTAGAAGATAGCGTAGACCATTCAGCATTCCAAGAACCTGACTCTATGGTGGCTGAAACAAATCCTCGGATTCAAGAGGAATTGGAAACTCTTACGAAAGAGTTGGCAAATGAACATTTCGAAAACGTCGACAGAAGTCCATCGGAAATTGGCGTGGAAGAAAGTCTTGCCTCTGCTTTAGAGGAGCGTACTGGTCTAATTAGAGTCACTAGTGTTCCGCTTCAGGGTAAGATCTCAAATGGAGATTCTATGCCAATACAATCAGTTGGCTTGGCTGCTAACGAAGGTAGTCCAATACTCCAGGCTGACCACGACTTTACAACAGTGGATTCCACAACAGCGATAACCACTGTCTCTAGTAACACATCTTCGAATGATATACACACCACAACAACACCCGACATAATTTCCACAACGCTTACACCCGCTACAATAACTCCAGATGAAGACTTTGCCACAACAGAAATCAATTTTGAAACCACTACAGCTCACACCACCCAGTTAGACATACATTTCCAAGACCAATCGGTTAATATCGAATCCAACGACTTACGAGTCGCACGAAATGCATTACAAGCAACACAGTACATGAAAAGTGCGTATAACCAAAAAACTTTGACTAATTCGAACTCCGAAACAGTTACAGGATATCCACCGGATGCAACAGATATACCTAAAATGGAGATAGCGGTTTTTGGTAATCTTGATTTAACAGTGCTCTTCTGTCCAAAAGATTGCTCGGAAATTCACGAACACAAATATGGTTAGTACTACTACATATGTGTGCATTTGGTTTACTTGTTATTTTTACTTAATAAAATATTTTTACAGATAAAAGCGTGTTGGGGGATCGGCATGTGGTGGGCGTACAATGGGATCCAGCAAACTCAAATAAAACGATGAGCCTGCGCACAGTTTAGCTGTGCTTAATCAGGATTTATTCAATTTAGTGCTAGCTATAATTAGGATAATTAGAAAAATTTTATAATTAAAAAAGTAGTACCTAATTAGTATAATAAAATGATTATATTGTATGAAAAATTAAAACGTAACTCTTGTTTGTATTTGATGTATTGTACTCGTTGATATGATTAGAATGAGTGTCTCTCTCGTAGCAGTTTATCAGCATCCGCTGGAATTACTGATATTGTCTGCTTCGTGTGAACCATCACCAAATATTGACTAGGAATTTTTTAATCCAAAAGATTGATTACTATTAGCCCGTAGTCATAGCGAAGAAAAAGGTTTCAACGTTTGAAGTCCTGTTTTATAATAATCACCATTTTAATTTTTTTCATAGTCAACTTAAAGTGCATTTTATGTCAAAACTCCAGTTTTAACTAGGGATGTTTCGAATGCCATATTTTTCACATCATGAATGCGAATTTTCGGAATGCGAAAGTGCGAATGTTAGGAATAACATTAAAAAAGCAATAATCAACTTGAGTCATCGTTTTCACTACTTCAAAATTGTGTAAATTATTAGAACATTGAACAGATGCTCAACCTATACAGTGTTTTAATCTAGTTGTCAAAGTTCAAAAGGGACATATTATATTTCAATAAAAAAATAATTTTGCACGTATACAAGGCCGGCTGCACTGAACAATTGCTCACTTGGACCGTTGGCGGGTGAAGCGCTCAAATATTTGCGGGCTATATCTGTCAATTTGTCGTACATATTTTAGTTTAGTTTTCCACCAATCGACAGGATTTTCACCGGGGTGAGCTAGTTTTTCTTTAAGATAGCCCTTCAATTGAGCTTTAATTTCACATTTTTTATATCTCCAGATTCTAAATCCGAGCGTTAGCTTTTGCTGGAGGAATCTAAAATTATTTCTAGCTTGCTTATAAGACTTTTGGCAGTACCTACTTGTTGAAGGCCCATCAATGTTGCTTGCTTGCCGGTTATTGTCCGCACCCTGGTTAGACAGACTTAGAGCCATTTCAACAATATTAGAGTGAACTCTCTGCCCATTTGATGAGAATGCGAATGTGTTAAATTATGCGAGTCATTCGTATAACGAATGCGAATGGAAATATTCGCAACATCCCTAGTTTTAACTTTAAAATGAGGAGAACGTGATTTAAAAATAGTAAAATAAGGTTCTAACAGCCGCACTCAGAGTCGTTTAATGATTACTTAAGGTGACCGACCCTCAGTAACGATTTGCAAAAATTCCCTCTCAGAGTCAGTTAAATACTCGTTAACGGCATTTAATGAACATAAAAGTTAAGTAAACAGAAACCTTTACTTAACTTTTTAACGAATGATTTTGAAATTTTTTGATTGTTTTCAATAAACTACAATTTCGATAACATTGATGTGACAGTGGCAAGGGCCAAGTGAGCAGAGCACTTTCGGCCTATTCGAGAGATCCGAGTTCAATCCTCGGCAAGATAATTTTTTTTAATACAATTTCTTTTAAGTTTTATTGCTTTAAAAATTCATAGTTTTTATTTTATTTACCATTTGGAAACTTTTTTGATTCATCTTTTTTCTTTCGCTTTCAATTTCTCAAATTTGTGTTTTTCGTGTTTTAAAAAAATGTTTGCAGACTGTCCTTCGGCCAGGTGGTAGATAAGGTCGCAGAGGATTTTGCAGAGGAGAGGGCTAGACTCCTAGCAGTGAAGAAGCGAGAAATCTCGGAGAGATACTCGTTTACTTTCGAGCACAAGTCATCAACTCCATTCCCAAACGCCATTAGCGAACAATCATCATCATGAGGAGAGTGGCCATTGACAGGTTGAGAACCTTAGCTAAATAGTCTACTCCTGCAGGACCCAAATTTTTCAGCATCAACATGCATATTCCGTCGGGCACATGGCTTTGGAGGCTGTCGCCTTCCCGATGGCTACCTGTACTTCACCGCCGGTGAATACCAGATCCGCACTTGTTATTGGCAGTTTGTGCCAATCAGTTGTCACTCGATGATTGGATTTGTCCACCGGAGGATGCAGTAAAAATTTTACGGCTAAAATAGCTCACGAATCGCTCCGGGTCCGGAAAGATATTTCGACTCTGTCGTCGCACTTTGTCGGGTTGGACAGTGATATCATGGTTGAATAAAGCTTACTCACGCCAGAAGCGAAGTTGCAAGTTTTCAGATGCTCTTCCCACTTTTTCCACTTATGCACGTTCACAAGCTGCCGAATCTCCGTTTCGAGATCCCTGAAGCGGGGATTTCCGGGATCAGCCTGACGAAGGTTGTCACGCTTATCGGCTAGAACAGCCACTTCAGCAGATTTGGTAAAGCTGATATATGTCTGGTGTCCCGCGAAAGCAAAGTCGGTTGGATTATCGATCGAGATTACTATGGGCAGATGCCAAAGTCAGCAAAGGTCGCCATGGAATGCTGTTCATCAGACCAGCGCTGACTATTGTTGTCTGGCGAGCTGCAGCAGCTGCCCATAATCCTGGTGGGTGCTTCGTCATTCATTGTGCAGAATGTCGAATCGTCTATGTGTTCAGATAAGTGTTTTCCCCTACGATCATTTGACAGGCTTGAATGCCAAAGATTATGCTGCGCATTATAGTCGCCAAATACCATACGGTTTTCACCTCTGAGGAGCGCATTTATTTCAGGGCGATATCCTGCCGGGCAGCTGATGACAGGGGCTATATATACGTTAAATATTTGGAGCTTGACATCGCTTGGAGACGATACTGCACGGTGTGGTGCGTTATGAACGCTAGGCCACCACCACGATTGAGAGAATACAAAGGTTGCGCCGATCTCGGACCGCTATTCCTCTCTTAACGAATTTGACAGAATCGTTGTTTGCATGACGTCACACTGGTGCAACTTGTTTACGTTTTCCTTGCAACATTTTTTCTTCTTCTTCCATTCTTGCTCACGTTTTGGCATTTCTCTCTCGCAATTGCACCAGTGTGACGTCACACACAAGTTATTCTCAAAAATCCTCTCCGATCGGCGCAATCTTGTATTCTATCATTCTTGGGCCACCACCATTATTTGGTATCGGGTATACGTAATCGGAATTTTTCAGAGCAATATCTGGCCAAGAACTGTCACCCCAGCTGGTTCCCCTAAAACTCGAATTTTTAAATTTTATAATTTGTTGCATTCCTCTTTTATATTTTAACACTCGATGTTATATCATAAAATTATGGTTACATAACTAACATAACTTCAGTTCCGAGAAGTGAAATTATTGAATCCCATAAAAGCGTTCGGAAATGTATCATTACAAGAAAAATCGAAAAACTGAAATTTATTATTTTAGGTCAGCCTGTGCCATATTTTTACGAAGCAGAGGGAAAAGATAGAAAAAGATAAAAAAAAAACAAAAGTGTCATCAAACAATTAAAAGGTTTTTGCTGCAGCTCACATTTTTTAATTTATTTCATTCCACTAAACCAGCGAATTTTACTTAAATAAAGTGAAGATACTTTGTCCATGTAAAAGAGTATGTTCCTTACTAGTGAAATGCGTTTAAATTCCTCTCCTTGATAGCTCCTATTACGTGAATTTACAACGTGTGATGTGTGATGTCGGCAATTGTCTGCTCTCTAATTAACAAATTTAATTAAGCGATAATTAAAGTATTGGTGTGAGGCACAGAAAAAGCATAGTGAAGCAAGCGATCGAAACTAAAGTTGCGTCAACTTATCAAAAGCGAAAATAAAAATTGATTTCAACGCTCAGAAAATGATGGACGAACAGTTAATTGACGAAGTTGGGCAGCATGGAGTTATATATAATCGTCAAAAGTATTACCTTAACGGTAGTAATGGACCAGGTGGAGGAGGGGGGAAGTATGAAACAAAAGATGAGGCATGGCAAACTATTGCAATGAAATTGCGTACAGATGGTAAGTGCAATTGATTTTCTATTCGAATTCTTTCACTCCAAAGTTTTACTATTCTCTGTAGTTGAGACTTGCAAGAAACGGTGGAAATACTTGCGGGAACGTTATGTATCACAACGCAAGCAAGGCGACCCGCCGGTATATGAACATCTTTCTCGTCCCTATCTTGAGAAGATGAAATTCCTTGATCAGCATATACAGCCCCGGAAATCATACCGAAATGTGCCAAGTTTTCTCACATCCCCCCACTCGGTGAACAGTTCCAACTACAGTGAATTCAATATGGACTCAAAGTCAAATGGGTCTATGAAGAACATGGGTCATTTCGGCAGCTCGGCTGTCTCACAACATCATTACCACCAACCAGATCATCAGCACCCTATTTCTGCGCTGAGCTCTGCTGCTGTAAATGCGTCAACAACAGAGAATGGAAATGGACAGGTAAAAATTGAAGCCGATCAAATGTTTCGCGATTTTGCCGCTGCTGTGGCCTCACAACAGCTCCAACAAATATCACACACGCAGCTACAACATCATCAAGCTGCTGCAGTGGCGGCCGCTATGGCCGATTCCTCTCAAAACTATAATGAACACTATCGAGAAGGAAACAGCTTGAGTGGTAATGGTGTAACTCACAATGGTAATGGCAGCGGTATGGGCATATCGTCATCATCATCTTCAATGAAATCACCATTATCATCTCCTTTAGATGGCGTCAACAGCAACAATCATAGTGGCACAAGTAAATGCATTCCAGAGTCTTTCCAAAATCCTTAATAATCCGTTATTTTCTCATCTTTAAGGTCACAACCCAAGGGGCGCGCAGCAGGCAGTAGCCCACTCATCGTCCTCCGATCAAATGGCTACCAATTCATATGGCGACACCAATAACGATGAACTAGATTCATCAACTGGCAATAATCATCATACGAAAAAGCCACGAGTGCAGCTAAATTCAAATGTCGCCGGTATGTCACATAACAGCAATCATGCTCAGCAACCATACTCTGGTTCACAAAATACTTCAAATTCCACTAACGCACACTTCGCTGACGATACCGATGATGATTCAGATGATAATAGTAGTAGTTTATTACAACCACAAACAATATTAAATGATAATCAGAATAACCATTACGATAATGCGGCTTCGACTTCCTCAGCGGCGGCCATGCAACGCAGTTCTGGTTCCACAAACAGTGGCCAACAACAACAACAACAACAAGGCATGTTTCCCGCAAATGCCGACTTCCTCTTTCAGCTTTATCAGCAACTGCCTCACCAACAGCAAAACCTAACTACACCTCAGCAACAACAGAATTTCAATAAGTTTCAAACGCCACAAAATCCCACACCGGCGCGTAGTTCCGAGCATCTATTGGGTGAATTGGTAACAACGGAACTATTAAAAATGTCAAAGGACCGTCGCAAAAATGTTCAAAAACGTATTCTGGAAATACTATTCTTTGATGATTGAACAAAAATAAATATACACAATAGCATAAGCAAGTGTTAAGAATAAAGGTGCTCCTCGTGGCATCGAATAAGCAGGTGGCAGCGCGGGAAGTGTATTCATTCCAGCTAGATTATAAGCCCAACTTCCAAGCGTATATATAAATTTTAGGTATATGGTTAAAGAATAGTTTAAGCATGTAGAACCCACCTAAATTATTTTTAATATTTTTATGTTTTTTTTCGTGTTTTTATCATAATTTATAACCTTTAAAATAAACTCTTCTCTTCTACTCTAGTCAGTCCGTAAAGTTTGCCTTAAATGTCTTGCTTACATTTTCAAACAATTATATAGTCGCTAATTTCATTTCTGTACTTTAGATCTTTAGACATATGCACGCATGTATTTTTATATAACTATAAAAAAAAACTATTTTAGTCAGTCAACAGTAAACCCATTTAAAATTAGTTAAGATACATACATAAATATGTGTATGTATATTAAAAACTATCGACACCGCTTGAAGATATTAACAAAATAAAGTAAAGCAGAATATGCAAGCATTTCGTTGACATTTCTTACCGGGCTTGATAAAGGAGCTGGGAGTAGCCGTGGCCGAGTGGTTAGAAGTGTGCCCTGCCACTCGGTAGGCCCAAGGTTCAATCCATGGGCTGTCGCCCTTCGGCAGGCAATGGCAAAGGGCCAATTATTTATTTATAAGCGAAAATGATCATAAATTAATTTTATGAAATACCGAAACTGCTGGCAGCCCTAAAGGTAAAAGCTGAAAATTCAACGCCGTCACATTCGATTCCGTCGGCGCAAGCCTTTGCACGGCAAATCAGCTGGTTTCGCTTATTTGATTTTTGCTTTTCAACTAGTTTGTGTTATTTTAAGTGATAATTAGATGGGAAAAAGAAAGTGTATGGGATTCTACTCTCAATTTTAATAAAGAAATCGAGTTTTACAAAATTTTAATTGTACACATCTTTCTTTCATTATTGAATACACTATCAACGAAGAAAATGTTTTCACTCACACGAAAATGGTCACAATTGCGGTCCAGTGTAAATGCAATCACATCAGCGAGCGCCTCCAATAGTAGCAGCAGCAACAATGGCATCAGCAATGGAATCCATTATCATTGGGAAACAAAGCACAATACACAGAAATTAGCTTTGAAAGCGCCGCATGAGCACAAATTGTTGAAAAGATATGAACGGTATGAGTAATTTGGTTTCTACATTTTTGTCTTGAGGGGATTATATAAAAATAAATTGTAAAACCTGCAGGTCGGGGGAGGAAATCAATTCTTATCAAAAATGTTGCATGCATATTTGTTTATTATATAAATATTCTATGATACAATGGTCTAGTTAAAGCGCCAATGCTTGAACATTTTTAAACGCGGCAGGATAAGTTACTTTCCTGCATAACGTACAATTCCAGGCCACTTAACAGTATTGACGCCATTTCTAAAGTTAGCTGGTAAATCACAAATTCCATTCGTAATTATTTGCATATGCATACATATGTAAAATTGTGCATACATACTTAGTTAAGAAAAAGGTTACGCGGCATGCATAATGAAATTGATTGAACTTGCGGTTAAAAATTCATAAGAAACTGTTTCGTATAGAGTTGATACCCATCCTAGGATATAAATGTTTAATCTCCTAAGTTGACTAGTTACCTACTATCTTCTTTGCATGGTAAACTGATGAAGAGTTTAAAGGTAGCATAGTCGAAAGTAGCAGCTGCAAAACGTAGTCCCACATAAATTTAAAATATGAATCGTGTACCTATCAACACATAATCCACTCTTTAGATTCTATCGAAAAAAATATGGGTATTCATCTAAAAGCGTAAATGCCTCCTAACCGGATAAATCTCGTAAATAATCCGGTTTTTAATACAAAATTAAGTAAGTTTACGAGGTTAACTGGGTTAAGAGATGACGCGTTTAGATGAATTGACGCAATATTTTCCCAATCTATAAAATCAGCAATGCAAAGTTTTTCAACGTATAAGTGGACTCTTAATACCTCAAAATAGGATAGTTCTTCGCAATCCGCTAACAGTTCACTGCATTACATGTAAGTACTGCTCTTTACGGGTCGCTGACTTGTTTACATTTTCATTTCATTGGCATACTTATTTCCATAGATTCTTGTATAATTATGTGTGTGTACATGCATACATATACTCACTATTTACTAATTTACTACAATGAGTGCTATAAATAGCTTACTAAGCGTGAATATAATTTACATAGGTTTTTTTTTACATACCCAACTATGGCATACAAATCTTGCATCTAAAAGTCAATTCAAAAAGATTCTTCGCATAACAACGACATGAAATGATTTCTATAGGCTACGTTTCTTTATACATTCCGGATAATCCCATTTCACAGCCGGAATAAACAGAATGCGTTTGAAATATACGTCAACATATAATCAGGAACGTTCTAAGGAATAAGTAAACAAAAAAGTTTATTCCAAACGTTCAGAATGAATAAAGAAATGCAGCCATAGTGTCTCCGCTTTCAAAAATATATGATGCTTTTATCATATTCCCATTTTTAATTCTGCCTTAACTTTTCCTCTACAACCTAACTCGTACTTATACTATGGACATTCATAGATAAACCCATATGCACATATTGTCAACTGCAATGCAAATAGACGTAACAAACATATTTAGTGAAAAACAAAAAGGCATAACTTATAAAAAATCAAAATTACCTTTTTGATTGATATGATTGGATTTCATCGAATCAAAAATACCTACATCATTTTATATAAAAAAATAATAATTACTCACCACTTTTTTCCTTTCAGTGACGATGTCTTTATATGTATATACCTGTATCCAAACTCTTTCATGCTTGTAAGCATATTATGCAAGTATACGGCTAGGTTTTAAACAAATTTCTTTACAATACAAACAAAAAATCAAACCCATGCAATAACAGTAAAAGTGATGTAACCGTTTACACATTTGGGCAAGGCTTAAATACATATTAAATACAAGAATGGTAATTTATTTAGTGCTTCTCAATTTGTCAGTAAATAAATTATGGTACACCAAAAATTATGTGTATTTTGGTACAAAAAAAATGGTTTACTGGCAGATATTGGCTGAATACATATATGCATAAATACAGATCATTCGATTTATGTACGGAGTATTTATGTTGTTCACTTGCTACTGTAATGTATTGCTATATTCATGCCTTTGTTTATTTTTCACTTTTTTCTCCTTTATAGTACTTTATCAACACTAACGAATCATTCAGTGCCAATAGCTGGACGTGTAACAATATCAAAGGAGGAAAGTCGTGACTTCATGGCCGTATTTCCAGGTTAGTAAAAAAATATAAAGCCTTTTTTATCTGCCACTCTTGCTATATTTTGTTTATTTCATACAATAAGTTTAAACGATCGCGGGCTTGGGTTCAAGAAAAGAGCAAATATTTGCATTTCTTTGTATTTAGTATAATAAGTTTATAGGCATTCGTATTTTAATGCAAATGTGTTTTCCTGATTTTAACTCAATTGGCTTACTATTTCAAAAGAAACAGATGCATATTTAACTGTAAAAGCGCGCACATGGATTTCCACTGTTTATTATTCGAACTACGATGAAGCTGTTCAGTACTCGCGCTAAACTTTAAATAAAAATTCCTAATTATGGATTCTGCTTTTACAGATGTTGTGCGCGAGCTGTCCGAAGTAGCTAAAAGTTACAAAACACATGAAGCTGCGACCTGGTTCACAAAGGTATTACTAATAGTTACACTCGCATATACCTTACAGAAACAGTTAAAATTTGTTTCGTTTATTCCAGGCCCTAGAGTACAATGTGCCACTTGGCAAGAAGAACCGTGGTCTACTCACCGTTTTAACGTATAAAAATTTAGTCAAACCCGATGACCTCACACCCGAAAATATAAAATTGGCGCAATATCTCGGCTGGTGTGTTGAAATGGTAGGTATTTCAGCTCGTAGTTATCACACTGCACACTTTGCTTTAATGCAATTTTTAATGCCATAATCGAACCACCTCGACTACTACATACCAATATTTATTTATTTGGTTTGATAGCTGCAATGTTTCTTCATCATTTCCGATGACATCATGGACAACAGCACTACGCGACGCGGCCAGTTGTGTTGGCACAAATTGGAGGAAGTTGGCTTAATTGCCATCAATGATGCGCTGATGATTGAGAATGGAATCTTTGAATTGCTACGTAAAAATTTCCGCCATTTAGCTTGTTATGTTGATCTGCTAGAACTTTTCCATCAAATAACTTTCATTACAACTTGTGGTCAATCTTTGGATTTGTTAAATGCCAATAAAAATGTCAGCACCTTCACCATGGACAAATATGACTCCATTGTTGCGAATAAAACTGCATATTATACTTTCTATTTGCCTGTAGCATTGGCTTTGCATTTGGCGGGGTGAGTGAAAAACATGTACATGCTTATTTTTTTCATTTCATAAAAAGCTTATTTTTTCGGCAGCGTTAAAGATCGCGAGATTTTCCGCCAATCCAAAACCATTCTTTTGGAAATGGGTCACTTATTTCAAGTGCAGGATGACTTTCTCGATTGTTTTGGAAATTCCGATATTACTGGTAAAATCGGCACAGATATACAGGACAACAAGTGTTCTTGGTTGGCGGTGGTTTGCATGCAGCGTGCTAGTGCCGAACAAAAAGCTATAATGGAGGAGTGCTATGGGAAAAATGGTGGGTGTGGGGCATTAAAAATGCAATTATCATATCTCTATTCAATGTAGGACCTTAAAACGAATTTCCATCCATTTCAGATCCAGAGAAAATCGCGCGTGTTAAGCAACTTTACGAAGAATTAGACATTGCCAGCTTATACGCCATATACGAGGAAGAAAAATACAATTTGATAAAAACGCACATTCAACAAAGCTCACTTGACATACCACATGAGATCTTCTTACAGATACTAAATAAAATTTATCAAAGGGACTCATAAGCAAGAATGCACAAAAATATAGAATAATAATAGTGTCACGAATGCAGCTCATGTTTGATAGCTACGTCGTGAAGTCAAACAATTTACTATTTAAATTTTCAACACCGGGAGCGTTGTGTTGCAATATCCATTCGTTTACACTATGTTTAAACTTCGATGGACTCCGGTTGGTGCAATGTTCAGCCAACTTATTTAAGTTTTTATTAATGTAACGGCGTTTTTGTAAATGTCACAATGTTGTAAAAAATGACGTATATGTATATCTCCGATATCAAAGATAACGATTGAAATATGTATGTATATACATAAATAAAGGAATTTCTAGTTTGTACTTTTAACCTATTAGTAGAGTTTGAGTATTTCTAAAAAAATAAATATTGGAAAGCGCTATATGTAAAAGGATATCGTCGTCTGGATAAAAGACTGTCGTGTCCCTGCAGTGAAAAGCCAAACCAGTCAGAAAA